TTTTTTTTTTTTTTTTTTTTTTTTTTTGAAACACAGAGCTGCTCTGTTCATGCACTTTTTATACGATACGAACATGACACTTAAAAGGCAAGGGAACAAACAAAAGGTGATGTCGTTTTGAGGATATATATTGGACTGCCTCGGAAAATTAGTATAAGACCCAAAGTAACGGCCCATTGAGGGTGAGATAATATCGGAAACCCTTAAAAATATTTAAGCCTTTGCTTCCACCAGATATCTGTGTCGTCTCTTGAACACGAAGCTCTCTGAAACCAAACCGTAATCCCTTCCACCACCTTCTAGGGTTCGTTATTATCTGGTACGCTTCAATGGGGACTAGGTCTTCTTTTGGAGTCTATTTCTCACTCTCTATGGAGAAAGGTGTTAGCTTTAGTGAGAGCTAGACGCTATGTAGGGTTTGGTTAGGGCTACTAGTAGAGTAATCTGCTTAAAATACGTTAGCTTTTTTTTTGTAATCAATTGAAAAATGTAGCTCAGTGTCACTAGTTAACTAAGAACAGCTGTTAGTTTCTTTTACTTCAAAGCTATCAAAGTGTTGATTCAATTGTTTTATTCTGTCTTCTGTTTTAGAATCTGCCAAGATGTTTTCTGCTCAAAACAAGATCCACAAGGATAAGGGTGTGGCACCAACAGACTTCGAACAGGAAGTTGCTCAGGTTTTTGTCGCTTCTTTCTTAATCTTGTAAATTAGTTTTTTTTTTTTTTTTGGTTTGCTTATTGATTTACTTATCTGCAGGCTTTCTTTGACTTGGAGAACACTAACCAGGAGTTGAAGAGTGACTTGAAAGATCTCTACATTAACCAAGCTGTGTAAGTGTTTAATTTTATAGAGCTGTAAACATCTCTTAACTTTGGCTGAAAGTTATCTTCTTTTTAACCTTTTGTGCAGTCAGATGGATATCTCTGGAGGCCGCAAGGCTATTGTGATCTATGTTCCATTTAGATTGAGGAAAGCCTTCCGCAAGATTCATCTCCGTCTTGTCAGAGAGCTCGAGAAGAAGTTCAGTGGAAAAGATGTTGTCTTTGTTGCCACCAGAAGAATCATGCGCCCTCCTAAGAAAGGCTCTGCTGTTCAGAGACCACGTAACAGGACTCTCACTTCCGTCCATGAAGCCATGCTTGAGGATGTCGCTTACCCTGCTGAGATTGTTGGAAAGCGTACCAGATACCGTGTTGATGGCACCAAGATCATGAAGGTGGTAAAGAAAAGCTAACGCATTTGCTTGGTCTTTCATTGCTTTAGGCGTTTGTTTAACTTGTTTCAACTTTCTATGTCCAGGTGTATTTGGAGCCTAAGGAGAGGAACAACACTGAGTACAAGCTTGAGACAATGGTCGGTGTGTACAGAAAACTTACAGGGAGAGATGTAGTTTTTGAGTACCCTGTCACTGAAGCTTGATGAGATTGAATGTTGGTTCAATTCTTTGTTTTTTTGTCGACTAGAGAGCTTTCTGAGTATTAAGTTATTTCTGTTGTCGTCAAAATTCTATTTAACAAAACCTTTCTTTTGTTCTTCATTATTAAGATTTTGGAAACATTATTCATAAATAATCTCACAAACGAATTGAATTTCTGGTCACATAAGTGCATTGACACAGTTTGGTATATAATAATACAATAACTGAAGAAAAGCTTCACTGATAAAACAGTAGCGTGTGTAGTTTCAACTATGGAGAATCCAAAAACCTACTGTTAATTCCTGCTCTGTACAGCTTTAAGTCAGATGAAGACTTCAAGTGAATTTCAGTATCTGCAGGCACAAACAGAACATCTCCCATTGAGATCTCATCTGCTGAAGCATCTGTAGACATTCTTCCTTCACCTTGGAGTACAAGCAGAAGAGAAGGGCCTGGAACAGAGGGAAACACCGTCGAGGCTCCACAGGGAAGATCACATAGATCAACTTCAAACTCCTCGAAAGGCGGGAGGTATCTTGTGATGTATGGTCGAATCCTTGATCCCTTTAGTATTTCAGGAAAGCCCTGAAAACTCATAAATGAGAACTCAGTAACTCCGCTGCAAAATCCTTGAGTTTGGTTATTAAGTTAAAAGGTTTACCAGTTTATAAGACAGCATTGAACAAAGTGTTTGAATATCCAGAGGCTTGGGAGTGAGGCCAGCTCGTACTACGTTGTCTGAAGTCGCCATGACCTCAATGCACTCACCGAATATGTATGCGTGGGGCTCGTTTGCACCAAGGTATAAGGCTTCACCAGGATTGAGCTTCACATAGTTGAAGAAGAATGCAGATATGACCCCAATATCATTTGGATATTGCTTTTCTAGCTTCAAAACTAGCCTTTCCTTGTCTGTCAGATGGCGTTCCTGCATAAATCACAAGAGAAAGCTTTAGGAAGTGGCATTTTTACAAGACAATCTGTCTGGGAGGAATCAATAGAAAAACATACCTGACTCTCCATATGCAGACGGTGTTTTAGTTTGGATACAATTTGCTTTGTTGTGTCGGGACCTGCAGACATTAGCAAGGTGAAGATACTTCGGACAGCAGATTTGACTTTCTCCTCTTCATGTTCACTAATGCAGAAGACTTGGTTTGCTTCTTCACTCCCAACAAGCTCTTCTATCTCCGGGATAGCACGAATGACACTCTTCAGCTCCTGTAATATTTTCACAAGAACAAACTTAAATCCTACATTTCTGAAAAATAAGCTACCAATCCTAGAAGAGTTTTGTAAACTGAATATAACTTATAGATTCATAGAGCTACTCTCCACAATCCATTTGTTGCAAAAAAATTCTGAACGAGTTCTTGTTCTGAGATATATACAAACAAAAGGAGGAAAGTCCTAAAGGAAACAAAAAAAGCTTAAACAGTGAAAAGTTCTCCAAAATCAAATTGGTTTCTAAACACCACGAACGAACCTAAAGGCTAAAGATCTCAAACTTTAGGCTCCTATTTAGAAGCGATTCTTATCCTTGAAGTTAGGACAGAACCAAATAACATGTGCTACGCTTGTCGAAAGTGGGAAACTAAGTGGGCCACTGCAAAGCTATAATGAAAAACAAATAAAAAATAGTGATAACAGATAACGTAACAACGATACCTGTAGAGGTATAAACCCACAAAGAGCCTCGAACTGAGTATAAGCCAAAGCCATCTCAGGTTTGTGATTATCGTCTTTATAAAGATTAGGATGAGCTTTATGCAACTTCTTCGCCAAAACCTTATCCGGATGTGACTGAATCGACAACGCCCTTCCCACCGACAAAACCTGATCAGATTCCACAATGTAATAAAAATCAAAATTCAGCAACTCATAAAAATCGTAAAAACCAGAGATCTTTTCAGCAATGTACCTTGAAGAGAAAGGGAAGATCGCAACCCCATTTCTCCAAAACCCTATCTCCAAGAGACTCAGGGTTTTCAGCAATCCACGATCTGAGCGTCACGCCATTGGAGCCATCAGCATCCTCCAAGTAACTCGGACCCGACTCGTGAGTCCCCATCCAAAGCTCCGCGTAAGGACGGGTCGGATCGATCTGTTCATCGGAATTCGCAGCGTAGACTCTGTAAACGAGTGAATCCGACCCGATTTTGCCCCAAGCGTAATCCTTCACGGAGCATCTCAATCGGCGGAGCCGTCGTCGATCAGATTCACAACCGCCATTTGCCTTCAATACAGTAGCGATCTCCATTTTCCGAATCGAAATTCGTTTCTCTGGAGATAGTTAAAGCTTAAGCGCCAATGGCCATGGAAGAAGAAGAAGGAAGACTCAAAGATTTTTTTTTTTTCTTTGCGCGTTTTTGAATTTTTTATAAAGAGATGAAGGTGTGATTGTAATATTTAAAAAGTATGGGGTGCGAAATGGGAATTAAATAGAAATGTGGGGGTGGGGATGTTTAGCTTGAGAAGGTGGAAAAGTGACAGATGGTTAAAGAAATCACGTGTTTTGCCGACGGATTGAACGTCGTCCGTGGTTTGTGGGCCGGTTGCTAGCTGTCCACGTGGACTCCACGATGACTCACTCTCACGTTTTTGTAAGTCTTTGTAATAAACCGACAAATTAATACCGAAATAAATTTAAGAAACGTTCTCATCTCTGACGATAATTCCAAATTATGTCTTTATATGTCAATGAAACTGACAAAAGTATCCCTTATATACTAAAGCACAAGTCACATAGCCAATCAAAGTTTGCCATTTGGAATTCATATAAAAACTTTAAAAATTCAATTAAAACAAAATAATTTTTAGAAAAAAAACATATCCCTCACAGCGGTTTCTCAAAATATCCAACGACCCACGATCTTATTTCTTCATCCCAATACTTCTATCTCTTAAATTTGACAGACAAAGAAGAGGTTATCCTCCTTCGTCTTCAATTTAAAGCCCTAACTGAAAATTCGCACAAACAAATCATAAATCTCACGATGACATGTATAGATGTATTTCAACTTTCCTTGCTCTCCATGGTCTGTAACGCAAGAGAGGACATGCTCTCCACTTCTCTTCAACTCGATTCCATGATCTGTATGTATATTATGGTCTAAACTGAAGCTTTCTAGAAAAAAGGAAGATAAAAAGCTTGAAAATTGTTAGATATTCAACTTATAGTTTTCAGGTGAGTTTTTGTGTTGATCGTATTTTCATCGGTTTGTTATATTTCTTTGGATAATAGGAATATACACATGGATCTCAAACCAGGTTCAGAAGAGCTAAAATTCATTTTGAGTAGGAAAAAATTTACACGGCTAGATAATTATCCTTCTCTTACTCGCTACCTTCATGAAAACTACAGCTTTAATCATGTTTCGTTTGAATATAATCCACGTTATGAACTCATTGTCAAATCCATTTTCTATATTGACTGCATTGCTCTTAACTACACAAGAAGAAATATCTGGCACTTGTGTTTTCTGGTTGGCTAACTATTAAGCTATTAAAAATTAGTTATTGAATGGCATCTGTAATTCACATGATCATATTTCTTCAGTTGATGTAAGTGCCAGTAACGAATATGACTATGATTGTGCAATTGTCAATAACTCTGGTAAAGTATACTTAATTCAAGTGTCAATTAGGAACATACCTTTTCACAATGTCATTTCAGTTAGTATTTTAATCGGTGTTTGTCATTTATGTAATTTAGATTTTTAAAATATAGCAGTATATACCAAATAGTAAGAACACCTATTCTCAAACTGTAGTGTAATTAATTTTGATTACTTAAATCATTTTTAATTGTTATGTACTGATTTGTTTTCAAAGAATTATGTTTACATGCTGATTTTACTGTTTTAATGGTTTCAATGATTTGTAAGATTATTTACAGATGTTGAATGAATTACTTGATGTAAGAAGCTAAAGACATAGATTGCATACATCATGCTAATAACAAGAAAAAGGCACTGGAAGGAAGAGCAGGACATAAGTAAATCAAGAAAGCTTCAAACTACCATTTACCTTAAACTTACTAACTAATTTATAACAAACGAAAGACAAGTTAGCATATTGGTTCAGACTCAAATCTCTTCCAACCACACGTTCTATTCCCCTGTAATGAAGTTTAACAAGATTTTAATGTTAAAAAACGAATTTATAACAATGTAACCAGTCGTTGATTATCCCAACCCGTCCTTTTTTTTTCTCTCTGTCCCAGTTACCAAGTAACGGAGATACCCAATGGATCTTTCTAGGCTGCATTAACCCAACCAGAGGATAATAGACTAAACATTTCAAATTCTTTCCCCTTCGGGAAGTAACTATCGGTTAAAGCCAGACTCTTCTTTCTACACGCCGGGTTCTTCCCCCGACCCGGGGTCGGCGGGACCGTTTCCGTCCTCCTCTTCAATGGCGAGACCCTTTGACCTAGTACACGAAGAAGTAGCATCCTCCCCTTGTTGTTGGCTGCGCCAGTTGAAGAAGAGTCCATCATCTCAATTGGTGGAAAGTCACACTTAGTGAGAACTGAGCAACCTTCAGTAACGCCTCTCTGATTTTAAACCCTCAAACCCTTCTCAAAATCCAACCTCCCACCGTAACACCTAGTTAACAGTATGCATCGACGACTCTCCTACGCGGAAAAAGGCAAGGGCCTTGCAATTCCTCCAGAGCCTCCTCGAACGGCTAGGGTTAGGGTTCCTGCTGTGGATAACTCTGAGCTCATCAGGAAGCATGCTCTCACTCTGGTGGGGAGAACCACCAACCCGAAAGTCCAAAAGCTATGGTCTCTCCTCCCTTTCTTTGGAGAACATTGGAAAGTTGATAAAAGTCCTGTGGGAGCAGATCTGGGCCAAGGCTGCTTCCAGTTTCAGTTTGCTTCGGAGAGTGACCTCCTTAAAGTGCTGGAGGACCGTCCGTACCACTTCGCTCACTGGATGCTCATCCTCCAAAGATGGGAACCCTCTACCTCCCCGTCTTTCCCAAACCAAATACC